GTGTCAATTTGGTTATCTTAAAACATAAAAATGACTTTGACTTTGAAGAATGTCGTAGTAGAATGCAAAGCATTGCATTTTCTGTCTTAGAAGTTTTTGCAATGCGTTAATCATAGGCCTAACACCATTGCTTAGACGTTGTACACGTACATTGTGATGTACGAGAAGGCATTTTTTTAGCTTTCTAATTTGCTGAACTGAATTTGAATTGCAACAGCACTTGTGTGGGCACCAGAGACACTAATACACAATTAAACTAATGTCAGTACAGATTTATAACGCAAGGGGAGTTTGTATCTCTGTTAATGTAAATGCATTTGAAACAAGATGAAATCTTTAATAAAGTAACATGGAATTAAATAAAAGATAATAATAAATATATAACACAACAATAATTTTCACCAAACACTTTATTATCTGCTATAGAAGTACTAACATATCATAGACTAATGAGTCCAAAATATGTTTAATAATCTCGAGGTCACCCATGAACTCAAATTTTCATAGATTTGATAAATGAATTCTTGTGCAAAATTCATATTTATCCACAGTGTCACGAGGAGTTTCTTCATGGCAGTGCGCTTGGGATTGTACAGAAGTTAAACGCTAACAAAGTTTCTATGTGTCATTTTTATCGTTTGCAGTCATATGTGGTTTGGATGGTGTCAGGTGATGCGGCTTCCGTCCTTCTTTTAACCTAAAAAAGAACGAAAATATGATATTTGCTACAAAGTTGTAGAATATTCCAAAACAAAAATAAAAAAGCTGTGTATAGTACACTGTCAGGTGCAGAATTCAACAAGCTCATTGTTTAGATATAAGAGAAGGCATTATCACCCTTCAAATTTGCTGGACAAAATTTGAATTGCAACTGCACACGTCAATGATAAAAGCATTTTAATTTAAATGCACGTTTGGCATCTCATTCTGCTCCGATTTGTCACACATGGTGTAAGACAGAAGCCACTTAATGTGCGATACTCTAATACTTCGTTCCGCTTACCCAACTTGAACATAATTATACTTTGGCCTACATTTCCTCCACGTTTAACAAGCAATAATAAATTCATGTATATAGCCATGTTTTTTTTTGCCTCTCTCTCTCTCTCTCTCTCTGTGTGTGTGTGTGTGTGTGTGTGTGTGTGTGTGGGTGTGTGTGTGTGAATAGCAACAAAATGAACGTGTCTCTAGTTATAATTTTCAAAATTGCTCGTTCTTATTAGCAAGAGTGTAATTCAACTACGACAAAAGCCGTGTAGTGAATCAATCAATATTTATATATTAATGTGTCAGGATTTTTTTTTTATTACAGAAACATAATATATAATATACAATAGTTCATTAACTAATAAAATAATAAAGCTGTACATAAACACTATAAGCGATACTAGTAGTGACAAAATTAATATATTGAAAATAAGAATAATTAAAAAATGTCAGTACTTGATATACCCTCGAAATAAAAGAAAACACACGTGTGCAAGTGTGTGTGTGTAAAAAAGAGAGAGAAAGAGAAAGAGAAGGTAAGAGAGAGAGTGAGAAGCAAGTACCATTCTTTTAGTCTATTTTACTTCTCACGGTCTTAATACTGACCTTGATGGTGTACCGGATGACATTTTTTGTGGGGGTCGCCTTGGAAGCCCTTCTTGCATTTACAGCGCCATCTAGGGCCATTGCACGGTCCATTACCAGGATGCGGGTCGTTGGAATGTGCCCCCACGCAATGTGCGTTCTTGCCGCAATTATGTGCGCTGCCAGCTGGAAAGAGACCGACTTACCTACAGAGATCAACCTAGAGAGATATTTACCGACTGGTTGACTGCATAAACTAGACAAACGTGTATTTAATTGTTAGTATGTCAGACGTACATGTAATGCTTAATTGTTTTACAATTTATCTCTGGCGCAAAAATAGAACTGGGTCCATTTAGAACGCATACCGGTGCAGGTTGTAACGGCAAAACATTAGAACTTGTGTTCAGTTAATAAGTGTGTGTGTGTGAAAACATGAGCAAAAGAATGAATACTATTCTGACAACAAAAAGAGAGTGTAATGTCTTCCAGAAACCCTGTATAAAACGCCACAGCGAACAAGTAAACCTCCGTATTGAATTCCTCAAACATTCATGCTAAATATGTGGAATATGCCAATGGATTGCCAATGCTTTGATGGCAACAGCGCTTAACAAAACGTATTTTAGCTATCTTTTTCGTGTGATATATACATACGAGATTGCATTATCAAGTTTCAGATTTCATATACAGAACGCCAAACTTCAGCAACGCTTTGCGTTTTTCACCTGATCTCATGATCACATTTATAACAAAGTCAAAAAGTTCTAAATATACACAAGTCGAACGATGCACGAATTATTTGTCGATTATGTTTTAAATTGAAGGTAGATGGCTTATGAAAGAATGAACCATATTTGACAAACATAAAGGGAGCGCAAGTTTTGTGCAAGACTACACCTTAACTTGAGTACTCATCTTTAGTGGCTTTTTTTTCATGATTTTGGTTATACTAATTGCGTAACTCATAAACTTGATAAATTTATGTTGAACAGTCTACTGAACATTTTATAATTTATTATTATTATTATTATTATTATTATTATTATTATTATTATTATTCGTCAATACATTCATGTAAGCCTAAAATACTACTCGGGCAACCAAAACACGGTGAGATGAATCCTGCACCGAATCGGAACAGTGACGAATTCAAGCTTAGAATTTCATATATTTTGTAGAATTTTTTTATCATTTGCTTCAGTTTCTCTTATATTTTTGTCATGACACACCACACCATTTTTTAAATACACTTGCTATTTTTTTACCTTAAGTGACGAATAATGGCAACAAATCAAAATCAGTTTTAGTTTTATTTTTGGACTGAATCCTACTATCATCAATTTCGTGAAGAAGATTATTACTCACGACATATAAACTATTTTCGCCGAGACAGTTGCAATGCTTACCCACAAACAGCAAACTCAGACACAAGGCAATAATCAAAAAGGTCTTCATCTTTCTCCTGCAGATCTTCGAACAGCGATTTCGTCACCTGTAAATTCGGACCGGCTTATTAAGAAATCTTAGGGAGGGGTTGAATTTATACCAGTGACAACGGAACAATAATATTAAGGTCAATTGGCTTTATATACGAAAGGCGGAACGGGATCTGGTTGGGTAAATTTTGGGCCTATTAAACATGTACATGTACTTAAAACGCATTATATTAAATTGACATCAGATGTGGTGTTCCGCTCAACAAGTCTATCTTTGGTGTCATTGACCTATGTTTTTAATTGATTCAAAGAGAAAATTATTGATAATTGTTTTTAATTGAAACTCAAATCATATCATTATTCAAAATAGTTGAATGTAAATATTTTTTGGGGGGAGGGGTCATTTCTCCAGATTTCTTTTCACCAGCAGACACAAATACTTTATTTTAACATGACAGTGACGTTGACAAAAATTTTCTAATGTAAACATTGGAGTGTTAAAAACAACTGATCTAATGTCTTCCAGAAACCAACCCTGTATAAAACTCTAATGTTAAGCAGAAGTTGTTTATGCCAACTTAATAATAAGTTAAAAAATAAAATTTTCCCATGTAAACATTCGAGTGTTAAAAACAACTGATCTAATGTCTTCCAGAAACCAACCCTGTATAAAACTCTAATGTTAAGCACAAGTTGTTTATGCCAACTTAATAATAAATTTATTTTTACAAGCCTGTCATGCATGCTTTACAAGGATATGGATGGAGTCCGGGGAAACCATGCACAAAAATCGCTTTCTTATGGCCATTTTTACTATATATGAGGAATTACCCTTCACCCGCAACCAAAGGCAGAACTCCCCTTAATTGACAATTTCATTAATCAAACTGTAATCATCTGTCACCTGAATTCATGATTACTACTGCACGACCTTGAAATGTCCATAACAAGATATGGTTGGGCAAATGGAATGTAATTAAAATATGAGAACAGCTCTTCACTGTTTCTTGTTGTCGGAAATGATGCATTCATGCAAACCTCCCCGTCTGTCTGTCTATTTGTCTGTTTGTTTTCCTTCGAGCCGATGTCACAGGAATGGTAATCCTAAGAATGAAAGTCCAGTGTAACGAAACTGAGGATAACAGTAAGTCCGCCCTCCATTTAGTTATAATTAGCTTGACCTAAGTGGGTCAATATCTATAGGGCTCGCGAGGCTTACTTCAGCATGTCCCAAAGAATGGGAAACGGACTCTCTATCATAGGGGACTGTCTGTCACGTTACAGATCTTTCTTATGGTCTGGAATGAGTCATATTTGCAGTTTCTAACAGACAATGTCATGCAACTATTTCACGATACATATATTGTAAACAGCTCCTATTTATATAATAAATTCTTTGGTGCAAAAAAAAAGAAAACTTTTTAGAAAAACAGGGACTTAGATTAAAGGTCAGACCGGATTTTTTTACTTTTGCTTAGTATGAGAAAATTGTTCTTTACCCGGGGAAAACCCATTTTTTACCAAAATGAATAGTGGTTACCATTTTAATATAGTATTATATGAACGCCCTGTGCATCGGCATTTAGAAATGTAATAACTTAACTATAAACTGTTGCATCCATCTTTTCCTTGTGAAATAAAAATTATAATTATTACCATTATTGTTAAAATGGTTCATAATTTTGGTGTGTCTTTCTTATCCAACAGTCCTTTTACTGAAAACTGAACATAAAACTCCCTGAGTCCCAGTAGCTGGATACTATCTATGTCAAAGACCAGCTTATATTTTGCATATTTAATAATATTTATGTTTTTTTTTCACATTTCATGCATATTTTATTTTCTCACATAATTATTCATATCCAAATGCTCGTGTGCTACAACAACATCTCTTGTGAAATAACCGTGTAAACAACAAAATGAAATCTATTTATTAAAAAATTAGGAATATAAAATTAAAATAAATAAAGCAAACACCCATATCCGTTTTTAGAGAACATTTTATTACTTATTATACTTCTTTCAGTCCCCAATAAGGACAAAATTCACACATATGACGAACTAATAATAGTACAACTTGCGAATTTTTCTAAATGGCTATTGCATTGGGGTTTCACAGAAACTTTAAGCCAATAATAAATCACCATGCTCTTTTTATATTCCGCCGTCTGTCCTAATAAAGCTATAGTATTTGTGGTTAATTCCGTGTCACATTAAAACAGCTTTCCGTCTCTCTTTTATCCTGAAAAATAAAACGAAATGATAAAATTTAATTATACGTGTATTATTTTGACTTAATTATAATTCAATTATCTCAGAATATATTTCAACTGTGAAGAAAGTCATGGAACGAACAACTATTTTTCGCCATATGTGACATAACACCGAGCTAGATTTTAGTATGTTTTTTATTTAAATATTTCATAAACATGATAACAAAAACACGTGTAGAGAAATAAATGAAGCGGCTTGTATCACGTACATTTGCTGTCTGGGACGAGTGCTAGATACTACATCAGGCCTACCCAACTACCAGACTGGGCACATAAGGATCCTGAATTAACCGGTATATCGGACCACACTATACCGTTTTCAAGGTGTATGTCAGATCGCATTTCGAAGTATCAGTCAGAACACCGACAGGATGAGCCCGCGGTCGTCCTACAGAATTTGTTCTGGGGCATGATACTCCGAAATGCGATCTGACACACACACCTTGAAAACGGGTAGTGTGGTCCGATATATCGGTTAATTCAGGATCCTTATGTGCCGAGTCTGGTAGTTGGGTAGGCCTGTACATGTAGTTTTCATTTTCAAAAAGTGTGAGTTGACTCTCTACATACTTGTCTCACGGAGTCTCCGTATAACATTCGTCGTACGGATCACCATAGTAGTATGGCAGGCACAAACATTGCCACATTGGTAGTTTACAGGAGCCATCATATCGAACCTGCAAGTTGGGTTCAAACCTTACGCATACCGCATTTTTGCCACAGAAAGGTGGCTTTGCGTTGGCTGCTGAAAATGGAAAAGATAAAATAGTGAATAGAAATGAATTTGAATTAGATTGAAAAGTAATTCAACGTATACATGCGACAAAATAAAAGTAGTTGAATAAATCGGTGTGTGTGTGTGTGTGTGTGTGCCAACAAATGCATTCAGGATGTTTGGAAATAAATCAAGAATAGATGCTCTCCTGGCACTGGACATAAATCCAACTTATAACAAATGATAATGAATAATTCGTGTTACATTCTGGTATTTTAAGAGATAATTACAAAAACAAAACTTAAAAAGCTTGAATGGATTAATTTCATTTCGGAAGCACGGAAAAATCCTCGTTTACCCCAGGAAAATCACTTGTATGCCACGTTTCCTGACAAAATGAACAGTTGTTAAATGTATCCTTTAAAGGTCGGTGCCCTACTGGTACATGAAAGGAGATCAGTTTATAAAAAGCGAAATTTCCATTTTCATATTAAAGCGATTTGTCGATATACTTATAAAAATACGAAAAACTTACCCACAAACAGCAAGCTCAGACACAAGGCAACAATTAAAAACGTCTTCATCTTTTCCCTGGAGATTTCTTCCTTTGCTGATGCAAACTTAAACCCGATTTGGCTTATTTGAGAAAATCTTAGACAGAACTTGTATTTATACCAACTAATACGGTATAATTACATAGTAGATAATGACATGAGATAGTCAAACGTAATCTGATTGGACTAATTTCAAGTCCATTATCAGGGTGCGTCAGCACACAGTTAAAAAACATCAAGCAATGGTGCTTTAAATTTCGGCATGTCTTTAAAACTGTCAAGGTGATGACAGGTACAAAAAATTCGCCGGGGGGTGGTAAATTTAAATTTATGGTATTTATCTGGCTAAATAATGATAAAAACGTTGTCTTGTATTCCTATGGTGTCTCACATTAAGTTCGTGGTATCTTATTTCTTCACTGAATACTATTAAGGATGACTTTTCTAGCTTGCTGTTTTTTAAAGGATTGACAGTGTAATACCAGAAGAGTAAGATTAACAATTTAATATAAGAAAGTAACTTTTGCCTCTCGTTACTTTTGGAACCTTCACACTTTGATGCCAATAGAAGTGAGATTGAAAAACTACCACAAAAATAGTATTTTATGTACGTGTTTTAAAATCACCTTGTCAGTTCAAGTATATGTTGTTTTAATACAAGTATCTTTTTCTCTAAATATGTCAATTTTCTTTGACATTTGGCCACAAAAGGAAATAACAATAATAATAAATTGTCTTTTTAATAAGACAGTGAAGTTTAAAATTGGGTGCGGTTTGCGTAAGACTGAAATATTTTGTCGATTATTTTGACGTTCTCACCCTCCTGGGGAGGATGCAGCCTAGCTGGCAAACGAAGAATATGCTTCAACCCCTAAATGCCAGTGGGCAGAGACAATTTAAGTTACAGGTTCACAGAGAACCAAATGACCGTCTATTTATCTAAAGACATATCTGCGAATATCTTCTGAAAAATTAATATATGGCCCTGGTAGAGGGTATCCACACACGTGCTGTTGCAAATCAAATTCTGTTCAGCAAAATTAATTACAAAAGTAATAAAATGCCTTCTCGTACATTACAATGTACGTGTAGAGCGTTGGTGTTAGGCCTATGCCTAACGCATAGCAAAAACCTCCAAGACGAAAAAAATGTAAAAAATTGGTTTGTATCACGACTTTCTTCACAGTCCAAGTATCTTGTGTGTGTTAGGATAAACAAATTAACACAAAAATATATTAAAATCTACCCACTTGTTTTTATTTTTAGTTTTAAAACGGACGTACAACCGTACCACGTGACACGTTCAAAACCACAAATAGTTTCATGATGGCAAGTTACGAGTGATAAAAAGGCTGCGGTGATCTATTATGTGCGTTACGTTTCTGTAAAATCCCACTGCCACAATCATTAAGAAAGACAAAATTGATTCAATTTCTATACACAGAAATGTGTTTGTGAAGTTTTCAGTTTTATGGGATGGGGTAGATAATAAATGTGTACTGAAAGCGGTTATGGTTGTTCAGTTCACTTATTCTGTTACCTTTGGCATTCATTTTTTTATCTAATTAAGGGGAGAATGTCATGAGTTGCAACACAAATCGTCCCAGTGAAATTATTAATAGGTTTGAACTTTCGTATAGAGTGAAGGTCATTTAACCAAATTAGAAAAACGTGTAACACAGAAGTAAAATATTTATCTAAAAAAGTTATTATTATTATTATTATTATTATTATTATTATTATTATTATTATTATTATTATTTTCTTTTGAGGCCAAATTACAGGAAAAATTGAGATATTTAGTGGAAAAATACTTGTATTGAAATGACACACATGTATATTTAAAAGTCAAATTTACCAACCCCTGACGAACTTTTTGCACCTGTCAACACCATGACAGTTTTAAAGACATGCCCAAATTTAAAGCACCATAGCTTGATGTTTTTTTAACTGTGTGCTGACGCACCCTGATAATGGACTTGAAATTAGTCCAATCAGATTACGTTTCGACTTTCTAATATCATTATCCCCTTTATAATTATACCGTATTAGTTGGTATAAATATAAGTTCCCTCTAAAGTTTCCTCAAATAAGCCAAATCGGGTTTAAGTTTGTACTGCCAGGGGAAGAAATAACGGTTTGAAATACTTCAGGGAAAAGATGAAGACGTTTTTGATTGTTGCCTTGTGTTTTAGCTTGTTGTTTGTGGGTAGGTTTTACATGTCCAAGTATAACGACAAATTGCTTGATATCAAAATGGAAATTTTGCATTTTTAAAATTGCAGGGCGCTGATAAAAACTGTTCATTTTGGCGAGAAAAGTGCCATGATTAATTTATTTCCAAACATCATAAATACATTTGATTACACACACACACTCTCACACACACACAAACACGTGCGTGCAAACGCACACGTACACACAAAACACACACTGATATGTTGTATTCAGCGACTTTTATTTTATCGTTTACCCTTCTATATTTTACATTTACTTTTCAATTCAGTTCATATACATGTCCTTTATATATTTAACTGATTCAACAGGGCCCATTCAGAACCAGTTGACGTGCGAACTTACTAGTCCGCGGATCAAAATGGCGCGTATTTGATAATGGGTTCCACGCACACTGCCCCAGCATGGGCAGAGCACTTAAATTTTGTCACGCCTTTAAGCAATTAAATTTCGTCACGCCATATTTGACTCGCGGATCAGTTAGTCCATGGATCAACTGGGTGTGAATGCTCTCTTAGTTTTGCATTCAGCCATTCTTTCAAATAATACAGTGACAGGCCCGTAGTCGGGGGGGGGGGGGTTCGGGGGGTTCAAAAGGACCCCTGTCATGTACCAGAAGGTCCCCCATGACAGAAAGTCCGGGACCCGTTATTTCAGAAACCAGGGGTCCGTATGGTAATTGGATATAATATATAGGGTCCCCCGGACCCTGCATTTAACCGGACCCCACGTTTCATGACAGCTATCACGAAACACAGAGTCCGCCCGTCATACAGAAGAACTGGGTCTAAAAGCTAGGGTCCTACTGTAGAACAGTAGATATTTAGTAAAAGCGCTTTATATTGACAATCTGGGTATAATAGAATTATAATAAAGCAAACCCTTGATGCAAGTAAATATAATATAACAAAACGGCGGTGGTTTGCACAACGACCTGGTGGTGTATTGGACAGCGACACTGGTGATGAGTCTTCTATGGTATCCAATGACAGGGAAGTATGCTATAGTAATTTAACAATATGTTGGTTCGAGTCCCATACTGGAGTTGACTTTATTTCGAGACAGGGAGTCCGCCGGACTCTCAGTTTTAAAACACCGGGTCCGCCGGACCCTAGAATGGTAGGACTCTGTTTGCTGTTAAAAGGTCCACTTTAGAAAAAATTTGACCTAGGTAGATGGGGATTATATGGTAAAAGGTCCACTTTTTGAGATATTCATTAATCCTTTTTTGTATTTACAGCGAGCAACGCAAAGCCACCTTTCTGTGGCAAGAACGCGGTATGCGTGAGGTTTGAACCCGACATTCAGATTCGATATGACGGTGCCTGTAAACTACCAATGTGGGAGTGTCTGTGCCTGCCGTACTACTATGGTGACCCGTACGACGAATGTTTTCAGGGGGGAATGGGAAAAGTATGTAGAGGATAAACTCACGCTGCTTAGAAAATCAAAACTAGTATCTAACAGATATTCCATTTAAGTCTCGTTCTATAATAATAATAATAATAATAACAATAATAAGTTTATTGAGCACTGATTGATATGAATACATTTGCGGGATCACTAGACTACATTATTTGCACAATATATAAGGATATACATTTATATATGTTTACAAATGTAGTATGCTAAATTACACGTGTTAATGCATGTAATGCTATAAAATTAATTAATTAATTAATTAATTAATTAATTAAGCTATTTACAGCATCATCAACAATTAGTGGCCGTGATGTACTAAATTGCAGGTGAACTATGAATTTTAACAGCAGTCTTTAAAAATTCTGCTATTACTTTGAGACTTTGTTCCCAGGATGGATTAAGAAAATTGACAATACCCGATCTACGACTTTCTTCACAGTTGAAAGTTAAGGTAATACACGTATAATTAAAATTTGTTCACTTGGTTTTATTTTTCAGAATAAAAGAAGGATGGGAAGCCGTTTAATGTGACACTGCGAAAATCACAATTACTATAACTTCACTGGGACAGACTGCAGACTACAAAATTACCATGGTGCTCTATTATTAGTATTAAGTTACTGTAAAATCTCACAGCAATATCCACTAAAACCACTGTAATTTGCCAAAGATTAATTAACATCCTTTACAGACAAGAATACGTTGGTCAAACATGCGAATTTTGTCTAATAGGGGAACTCGAAAGTATATAATAGGTAATAAAATGTGCGATGAAAACGAATATGGGTGTTTGCTTTATTAATTCTATTCATTATTATTCTACAAAAGATTCCAGTTTGTTGTTTATACGCTTATATCAAAAGAGATGTTACTGTAGCACAGGCACTTTTGAAAATGAATGATTACATGAGAAAAAAAAGCGCAAAAATGCATAAATGAATAGAAAGTAAATGAAAGAAGAAATAAATAGATAAATAAATAAACATAAACATAAATAAATGAGGTATAAAACTTGCTTTTTGGAACGGCTACTGCCACTTATGGAGCTTCATGCTCAGTTTTCATTTAAAGAATTATTGAGTAATAAAGATACATGTGCACCGAATTTATGAATCAATCTTTAATAATAATTGTAATAATAATTATTATTATTATTATTATTTCTTAATAAAATATGGATGTGCTGCCTAATACTTAAGTATATTTCTCAGTAACGATATAGGTGACGTTGAAATAATAATAATATCATTGATAATAATTTTATTGATCACAAAATTTTTTATCATGAACACACTCACTAAATTTTTAAGATATATAGGCGACGAGATCTCTACCACTAATTGATTATTACTAGTATTCATAGATATACCTCTAGCTAATTCTGTACACTT